ACACACACACACACACACACACACACTGTCTCTCTCTCTCTCTCTCTCTGCCTCTCTCTGTCTCTCTGTCTCTCTCTCTGTCTGCCTCTCTCTCTCTCCTCTCTCTGTCTGCCTCTCTCTCTCCTCTGTCTGTCTGTCTGTCTGTCTGTCTGTCTGTCTGTCTGTCTGTCTCTCTTTCTCTCTCTCTCCTCTCTCTCTCATATAAAGGACCCCCCTCTTAATTGTGGGTTGGACTATTTAAAGCTCCTTAACCCATACCACAGTGGCAGCCTGTCAAGCCTGTTGGAAAGCTTCAGAATCGATCTACATATGTAAAACATTCAGCAGTTTACACAGAATAAATATCCAGCATGTCTTTTCTCCCCCAGGCTGGAGTTTAGAGGGGTCCAACTAAGAGTCCTAGAACTCTTTAAGTAAAAACAGTGACTGACGGGGTCTTTGGACAACCTTATCTTTTTGTAGATGAGTAAACTTAAGAAGTGGAATCATTTCTTCCAAGTTAGAGTTAGAGACAGAAACTTAGGTCTCCTCCTTGATAGAGGATTCTTTTGCCCTGACAGGTTGGTTAAAGTGAGAGTTTGGGATGGTGGCTACTTTCAGCGTTGCCTGAAATTCAGGTCCGAAACCATCTTTAAGCAGAACTGCAGCCACGAAGCCATCTAGTTAGGGAGAGAGGCCTCAGACTTGAAGGGGGAAGTTAGAGAAGTCAAAGAGGCGTTTGCTTTGGCACAGTTCAGCGGCTTTGCTTTTCACAGTATTCAGGAGAGAAGCCGAAAGTCTCTGGTCACCCCAGGGGGTGAAAAAAAGGGCTGAACTCTTCTTAAAAGAACTGAGACCCTTCACAGGTTTGCACAAAGGTATAGTACGAATGTCTTAGGGCAGGTTCCGGGCCATAGACTGAGCTAACCACCCACAGCGGCCCCACCAGGCATGCAGAATCCGTCCGCGCTGTGAGCAAGCACGACTTGGTCTTGTATCTATACACATCTGAAATCCCTGACCACAGCGGTAAATTGAAGACACACACACACACACACACACACACACACACACACACACACAGCTTTCCTCAGCAATCCAGCTCTCAGCAACACGACCTTCATCGGAATGCCCCCACTTCTTAAAAAATAACCCTCTTTTTCCCACATGGCTCCGCAGGAGCACCTGAGACAAGAAGATCTCAAGCTTTCCCCCGTTCTGTGCTTTCCCCCCAGTTCTATCTGGAGAACCTCTCCGAGCAAACCGAGTGCTTCCTGCGATTCCCAGTCAGCGGGGGCACGGCACCCCCGCGGAGAGCACGGCCAGGTCCACCGGCAGTGCAGATTAACCACTGCTGCTAGCGGCAGAAATACACATGTCATCTTTGTTCGGCTCTCAGAGGGCAAGACTGCTGTGGTTCATAAGAATAAAGACTAATATAGAAAGCTGTATCCTATAAGCCATTCACAATTTTACAACTCAAAATTCCTTATCCCAAATAAAGATACTTCCTCCTAAGTACTTAGAATACAGTGTTTCACTGTGCATTCATAGCAAGGCCATGGCTTTATGTGACTTATGCTCAAATGTTTAAAATGTCTAAATGTTAAAATGTTTAATGATTCACAGTAATGTATCTATTGTCTGGGAAACAGCTTAGTTTGGTTTGCTTTGGGGCATGTTCACTGTTTTATTTGTTTGCTGAATGATTTTATTTTTTTAATGTATGCTTTGATGAATAAAAAGTTTTTTTAAAGGACATTCTAGACTTTTTATTCACACATATTACAGTTCTACATGGGGTTGACACAACTTAATTAGAACTAAAGTAATAAATTCTTATAATCAATCTGTGTTTTTTTAAAAGTACGATCTTCAGCAAAATATTTTCTAGTATTGTCAGTTCCTGGAAGCAGTTCCAAGCACTTGGCAGTGTTTATGTCTCTGCTTTATGATTTGATCATTTCTATCCACTGTTATCCTCAGATGTGATTGATTATTTCAATAGTGAGCAGGTCACATAAGCTGGCCAGGCATCCGGACATCCTGGCCCACCAGAATTAAACAGGCCTTTCTCGTGTGTTCCTCCAATTATGTTTTTAATAAATCTTTTTTTTTTCCTTCTGTTTCAAGATAATGGTATGACTGGGGATTTAGCTCAGTGGCACACCAACTACCTGGCAAGTGCAAGGTTCTGAGTTCAATTCCTGGTACCAAATAATAATAACAATAATAATCATGGTTTCTGCCTACTTGATACTTTCCCAATGTGAAGACTAAGCAAAGTTTTGAAAGATTCCTACTAACTAAGATGGTGCCTGCTGTGTGGATTGACTGGGGGTACAAAAAGGTCAAGGCTTAGCCACACAAGATGAGGGTTACTCACTGGGCCCAGCAGCAAACACCTAAAATCCCAGCACTCTAGGAGGAAGAGGCAGGAGGATCACAAGTCCAAGCTCAGCCTGGGCAACTTGGCAACTTACTAGTTTAGTGAGGCCTAGTCTCAAAATTTAAAAAGTAAAATTAAAACCAGGGATATAGCTGAATACTACTGAGCTCAATCTCCAGGCCTGCAAAGGAAGAAAGCAAAAAGGATGGCAATTATTCCAAGCTAGTTCTCTGTCTGCATATTGTTTTGTAAGTACCTTAAGGATAACATTTACAGCCTTGTATTAGTATCATTTGTTTACAGAGGTCAGAATCTACCATAAACTAGAAAGTCTGGTTTGTTGGCTCCACAAAACAGACAGTCAATCATTTAAAAAAGATAAATAAATTTAAGACAGTGTCTCCCTGTGCAGGCAGGCTGGCCTTGAACTCAAGCCTCCTGACTCGGCCGCCCAAGTACTAGGATACCGCATGGACATCACATGGCTTCAATGACTTCAGTTTTTTGGTTTTTTGGGTTTTTTTTAAAGGAAGTAGAGCATTCAAGGGAGTTGGAAAGGGGGGCGATGTGGAAACGCAAGGCAATGGCTCCATCTTGACAATGGCAGTGAATCGGAGACTGTAGAACAGAAAGCCTTAGTACAACCACCGATACTGAGCAGTAGGTCAAAGGTGGGCAAGTCCTGGTACAAATGTCAGAGCTCTCAGGACCACTTCTGGAGGGGTCTCTTTCTGTTGTGTTTGTGGGCCATGTCTGTTTTTGAGGAATCATTCTTTGTAGACATCAGAGTGTTAGGTTGGCCAGTGTGTCACCAGGCTGCCTCCCACCCCATGTCTATCCACTAGTAGACCCCTTGCCCTGCACCACCTAGACCCATTTGTCCGGATGGGTTAACCTTTCTCTTGACGCTAACTCCGAAGCCTTGTGGGCTAACAGCTACAGGACATGCTCCACACCTGCCTCAGGGTTAGCTAAAGTGGATTCCACCCTGACATATGCTTCCTTGATGATCGAAGTAGTGGAAGTGAGACATGAATCTCCTTTTTTCTCTCAGATTTAATTTGCCAAATCAAATTCTGTAGACACTGCTAACTTCAAAGCAACACTGGGATAGAGAAATGTAATCCTTGTGAGTGTCCAGAAAGGGGAAAAATAGAACACTTATGAGTCATTAAAGATTACCAAACTAACAAAATTCAGCTCCAAAGTGATCATTTAAAGACACTGATACTAAGTGGATAACTAAGAAGTCAAAGCAACTTGTAAATAAATTATACTGCTTTGGAAAATGTTACATCCTATAAAAAATACCCACTTATTTACACACAGAGACACCCAAAGAATCTGCTGATCTTTGGCTTTGACATATGTCGCTGTGTTTATTGGCTATGACAATATAACATGCTACTCAATAACCACTTCTTTAAATAGAATAACTGTCCTTTAAATAGATTAACTGTCCATCAGGTAAGTTTGTTTATTGGGCAGATTCACTGTTGGACATTACTTTGCTGGCCAAATCAGATAGTAAACACTATAATTTGGATTTGCAATGGCCCTAAAGGCCAACATGTTAAAATACTAGTCCATAACTTGGTGCTTCAGGGAAATGGTGGGGCCTCGTGCAGGTGTTCCACTCATTGTGTGTGCCCTCCAGTGGGACAGTGGACACCACCCGGCCCTTCTTCTCCCTCTTTTTCCCATCCTGGTCTTTTTTTTTTTTTTTTTTGCTCAGAATGCCCTCAGGGTGGTTTGGCTGGCTGGAGTGTTGTGGGGATCAAACTACAGCAACCTGAGGCTGACAGCTTTGTGGAAGCAGCCACTTAAACAACTGAGCTAAGGCCAGGCCCCCTCCCATCCTGGTCTTAACATGAGTGTCTGGGGTCAACCCGTCATGGGCCAAAACCTCCAAAACTGCATATTAAAGTGAACCTCTTTGTAAATGATCTCAGGATTGTGTTACCCCAGTTAATGCCTACTTTTTCAAAGCTATCAAAGGCTTTTTCTTATAAAACGGCTTTCTGCCTTATTTGATCACACGTCTTCCTTTATTGTTAAGAATATATCAATTTCTTTGCACATGCAAAAATCACAATTTCGCATTCATTCTTTTTTTTTTCTTTATATCTTTAGGGAAGGGTCTACAGGGTGTTCAAGCTCTTATTACTAGATCAGACTCATAGCCATTTGCCTTTTTATAGCCCTCCCAAGAGCTGGAATTGCAGGCACATGCCACCATGCCCAGTCTCAATTGCCATCTCACTGGACATGCACAGCCAGAAGGCCTGGGAGGATTCTTCCAGTTTGCCTTTGTGGCTTTTATCAAGAGGAGAAGACACAGAGTCCTTGCACTCTGCCTTTATGAATGAGAGCATACAGGGACTTAGGCCTAATGAAACACTCCCAGGCAATGCGGATGCAATTAGCTGTCAGGTTGTTTCCTGTAACGTTGTTTGTAACAGAAAATGATGAAAAGAAAACATAACAATATTATTGGATAAATACAAGATGGCACATTCATAAAATGAAAAGCAGCACGTCCACCAATACAATACTAGAACTTGTATTGACACGGAAATATGTCTTCGATATCATATATAGATTTTGAAAATGTAAGAGTCAAAAGAAATGCCACAGAACATTTGTGTGTGTGTGTGTGTAGATAAAACCTTCTTTATGAAAAGCTGGAAAAAATGTACACAAGAAAGTTTAAGTGATTATGTACAAATGCTACAATTATAGGAGGACCTATCTCTCTTTAAAATAAATAAATAAATAAATATTTATTGCCTACTCCTTTCTAGTTTGAGAATTCTAATTATATGAACATAAGTTTCTTGGTTTTGACACAGTGAACTATTATGAGTGATCTGTAAATTCTTTCTTCATTTTTATTTTGGATAATTTTTATTGTTATATTCTTTTATGTTTGTAAATAATTTATTTTCAATTTGCAATCTATTAAAAAATTAAAACAAAAAATTTTAAAAAATAAATCAATTGCCATCTCAGCATGCCCCAGGGGGCAGGGCCTGCACGGCAGGCCCAGGGATCGAACCCCCGGCCCCTGAGCCTGCTTGCAAGCACTTTGATCCACTGAGGTATTTGGCCTGCCCAAAGAGCAAGGAGCATCCCAGGGTGGGCCAGAATTGTGCATTAAAATTTCATTTTAATTATATCAGTTTATAAGATATGCCTTTTTACCCTCGCCCACTTATAGACAACTAATTCAAATCAGAAAGAGAAATAATTTGCAGAAACTCATACAGCATGGCACTGCTTAGAAGTAAGGTTGCTCTAATCCCATAATCTATATCCAGAATGCCCAAACCACCAATTCTCTATCCCAGAACATTCACTTACACTTCATAGTGCTGTATACCTTTGGCAATGCCACTCTTCTAATTATTTTTAAAATCACCTTATACATCTATGCAGGTAAAGTGCAGCTGCTATTACAGTTTGTGGAAAGTGCCCACTAACCTGATACTTTGCCAAAACTATTCAGAGTTCTTGGAAGTTAAAATTATTTATTTTTTCCCACTTTTCTTAGTTCCCTTTAGTTTCCACCTGGATTAACAGAGGTGTTCTTTCTTCCAGTAAACCCAACTCCAGTATTCTCTTCTTCCTGTGACTAAGCCAGTCCAAATAATTTCTGTGACTCTTGCTTATTGTTCCTTCCAACTATATCAGAGGAGATAGCTTGACACTTCGTAGGACGTAAGAAAGCCCCGCCAGGAGACCGGTTAGAAATATAGCGCCTTCCAGAAAGACAAACATAACCATTAATTTCACTTTTGCCTTTACCCTTTGAAATTTACCACTGCATATCTCTAAGCAAAGACTTCCTGGCACTTAAAAAACAACCTTTTAAAAACATCTCTTTGAAATCCACCATAGGCTTAGGCGAGATACTAAAAAGAAATGTATTTGATTTTGGCATAAAATATAGTATCCAAGTCAAAACCCTAAATTAACAAAACACCATGATAGCAGCTCTCCCAAGGAGAAGATAGACTTTCTTACGTCTCAAGGGCAAACGATATTTTTTAATATGAAAACATTCTATCAGAACTACATATTTCCTAAACATTAACATGAAAATGTTGATCCTGGCAAATGAAAACTATCAAAACTATAGTTTCTCAAAGCAAGTGACTTCCATCCTG